AGAGAGAGAAGTATCTTAGGGCAAAGAGGAAATATATTATATATATTTTGTGAAATATACATATTTATAACTGTTTATCTGTCGATTTGCCGCTTCTTCAGTTGCAACAAGCAAATGGTATTTAAATACCAAATAAAATACTGTGCATGCCAAACACTTGGCTAAATAATGTAAAAGAGGCAGAAGAGTTGCCATCAAATTGGGCATGACATGGCTATGGGGATGTCGAGGGGCGTGTTGTTAGCTGGGCGTGGCAGCTGTCTGGCAGAGCAAATGGCGAACTTATAGAAATATCTGCAACGAATACAAATTCAATTCATGAATAAATTGTAATGTGTTGCCGCTGGGCTTTTGTGTGCTGCCGCTGTTTGTTCATCAGGAGGAGGCGGAGGCGGAGCAGGCGGGGGCAGGGGCCAGGGCGGCGGAGCTGTGGGCAACTGTTGCCCCATTCATCAGATCTGCGCTCTCTGCAAATATCCATCGTCATTTTGTTGCTCTCGAATAATTACAGCCGCACCACCCAACCACCGGCTGCCACCGCCCGCCAATGTTGGCCCACTTAGCCACTTTTTTCCCCATTCGCTCTTTTCTATATTTTCCATTCATTATTATTTTTTTTATCTGGTTTTAACACGCCGCTAAGCTGCAGCTTAGTCGTCGACGCTGAATGCTGCGACGGCAAAACTTTTTTGTTTTTCCTCACTTTTCATTCAGCTTTGCCACGCCCCTGCCTCTGGCGCTGCCCACACTCGGAGGCCTTGTGTAGACACAAGTTAATTCCTTGACAAAGTCAATGCCACAATGTCCTATCTTTATGTCTCTCTCTATAGGAATAGCGGCTCCCTCTCTCTCTCCCCCTCTCTCTCTCTCTCTCTCTCTCTCTCTCTCTCTCTCTCTCTCTCTCTCTCTCTCTCTCTCTCTCTCTCGGTCTCTTTCCTTTTCATATGCCATATAATCTGCATCAATTGAGCTACAAATATGAGTATTTAGCAAGAGCTAAAAATTAAAGGAGTGAGAGAGATACACATGGCAATAGAGAGAAAGAGACAGAGTGGCACACATAAAAATAAAGAGAAAGAGAGATAGAGAGAGAGAGAGAGAGAGACACATACACAAGAGAGAGAGAGAGAGACACATACAAAAGAGAGAGAGAGAGGGACCGAGATGGGGAAATAGATAAAATGAGAGAGAAGTGAAAAAGGGCGAGAAGGCAAGAAAGAAATAGAAATAGAGACTGATATCTTCTATTAGTAGAACTTTAGGGTTAGCTATGGGAAACATGAATTGAATAAGACCTAAGAGTAACAGATCGAAACAGAGGTAAATGTTAATGTTATCAGATATTATATAAGCCTTGATCAGTTGCCCAGGCCCCCAAATAGATGTAGTATGTAGTATATATAGTATTGTGTGTATAGCACATACATCAAGTCTCTAGGATTAATCAAAAATGTACAGAATGGGATGATAACACTTGACTAATATAGCTCCTTTCTCATTACGAACGAGTCGAAAGCGTGGTAAATGTTAATCAATGAAAAGCAACAGCTGTTCTACATTGAGAGACTGTTAAAAAGTTAACAGCTCATTAGCATAAAAAGCAACTGTTAAAGCAATGTGCTGGAAGAGCAGAATAAGATATTTATGTAGCATAAATAGTACAAAAAAAAAAAGTGTTGAACGAAGATGGAGAGAAAAACAAAGGAAAAGAGGGAAAGAGAGAGAGAGAGAGAGAGAGAGAGAGAAAGGAAGAGAAGGAAGCGAAAATTTGCTTTAAAGCAAATTGCCAACAAGTTGAATGCAGAGGGCGGGACACACAGAAGGCGTGGCACGCATGAATGGAGCCCTAACAATGTTATTCAAAGCCGCTACCAGCCGGCAGGTGGCGCAATAAGCAAATACAAAATGTAGATTTTTTGACGAAAGGTGAAACCAGTTGACCAGACAACCAGACGGGCAGAGGGGGGAGAGGGAGGAGAGGGAGGGAGAGAAGAGAGTGTGTATGTGTGAGAGGAAGATAGCTATAGTTAGTAATAGGAGGGGGGCTTGAGGAAGAGGAAGAGTTACGCAAATTGCTGCGCTGGCAAAGGCTGTAAAATTTTATTGAGCATACCGAGTGGCAGAGGTCGTGGCGTGGCCGTAGCGACGAAGGCGTTGCCAGCGTGCGGTTGCACGGAGCAGCGAGTGCCGGCCAGAAGCGGAACCCAAAGCTGAACCGGAACGGTAACGGCAACGGCAACGGCAACGGGAATTTGCAATGGCAACGGCTATAGCCAGTTGGAGCAGAAGTCAGGCAACGGCGCTGGGATATGGCCATAACGTGGCTTTGATTTGCGCTCGGCTCGAACCGAATGCCACGCCGAAAATTTATTGTCAAGTATAAAATGTAATGGCCGCATACATAATGGACCGACAAGGGCCAAGAGGGGCAGTGGGGGCAGTGGGGGCAGAGGGAGTCGGTTGGTAACTGAAACAGTTATTTGCACTTGGCCCGGTTACGTGCCGAATCAATTGAGTGGCGGACGCAGAGACGGTGCTGGTAAACACATAAATCATTTAAGTATTCCACAAGCTATGATTGTTGTACAGGTGTGTGTGTGTGTGTGTGTGTACAGGTGTATCTGCGAGCTATGCAAAATTGTAGCGAGCAACGGCGGCCCGTTAACTGCGCCCTGTTGCTGTCCCCAGGCAATAAAATGGCTGTAAATTCCTTTTTATTTCCACTTGCCACGTAACGGTACATGCTGGGGCTTGGCAGCCTGGAGGCGTGGCACCTGCTTAGCATGCCAAATTGAGCGGGCGGCCGAGCGAGCAAGCGAGCAGAGCCAATATGCTGGCAAATTCTTTGAGCTGCGCCGCCTCAAATCACGCTGCTCCTGCTCCTGGTGTTACTGCTGCTGCTGCTGCTGCTGGCACTTCAATGATACATATTTGATGCGTGTTTTACATAAGTCAACAACAAACGCACACACACACACACACACACACACACACACACACACACACGCGCACAACATTTGTCAGTGACAATTTTCATTAATTTAAAAAGCTAAATAAATTCGTTGAGGCACAGCCGAGCCGCAACTATTTGACGTTGAATGCCGTTGACGTTGCGCACGCCGTGAAACAACAGCGGACCATGTATCACACGCAGGCACGCAAACACACACGCATATATGTATGTGTGTGTGTGTGTTTGTGTGTAAACATGGCATTCCCACATGCCGCACACTGAGGACGCAATTCACCAAGCGGCATTTTAATGGCTCGCATATGTAAGTGGCTTTAAATGGCCCCACCCAGCAGGAGTAGCAGGAGCAGCAGGAGTAGCACCCACACCAACAGCTACACCTGAGCCAAAAATTTGCCTTTCGAGCAGCAGCAATTGCCAAGAGCCTGAAGAAAACAAAGTTAGCTTTGCTTAGAATACCGTTACCCTCTGTCTCTGTCTCTCTCGCTCTCCCTCGAGCAGTCGCTCTCAGTCCGTCTTTCAGCCTCGCTCTACCTCTCCCTACCTCCCTCTTGATCTACCCACACTCATCTCATCTTTCCTACCTCCCTCTCCTCCCTCACTCCTCCTTTACCCCTCTCTCTCACTCTCTCTCTCTCTCTCTCTCTCTCTCTCTCTCTCTCTCTCTCTCTCTCTAATGCCACCTGTTATCTCTTTTTATAGCACATAAATAAGAAATTTTCCACGCAGCAACAATTTCAAAGTCTTTAAACGGTTCAGCACCCGAACCAGTTCCGTACACTGACTCAACAGTACATAAATTCTTGGCTAGCTTAACTGAATGTATTCTATATGCTATATACGTTGCCTCTGTCATATAAGTCGGTATCCAAAGTTCAGCTCAAAGTCAAATCTGAAACTTTTTACATCAATCAATTTGTCTCCCATGCGAGATTTTTACGGGTAAAAACTCGACTTAAATGTTGCATATGAAGATTTGTACATTGTAGAGTATCTCTTGTGTATTACAGGGTATCTCTTAGTTGAGCTCTTCTCTCTCTCTCTCTCTCTCCCACTCTCTCTCTCTCTTGCTGTGCAACTGTGTGCGAGGTGAATGCACGCAACGCTGGAGCAAACTTGAAACAAACTCATTAAGCGACAACATTGGCGCGATTTTTGTCGGCTCCACAAACTGTCAGAGATGACTGAGGTGCGCCTGCTAGCCCCCTAAAAGCGGGCTGGCTGACTGACTGACTCTTGCTCCTCCTCCTGCTGATGGTGCTCCTGCTGCTCCTGCTCCTGCTGCTGCTGCTGCTGCTGACACGGTTACTCAACTTCCGGCGTCTACTCTTGCACAGCGGCAAAAGTTGAAGCTGGGGCGAATGTCGCATGAGAAGAGCATACATCCTGCCAGCCCACACACACACACACACACACACATAGTGAATCAGCACACCAGTTGGGGACGTGGTCGGGCGTCATATCCTTTGCCAGCATTCATGCTAATAATTTGATGGCGCCGTCGCGCAACACAGAGCGTCAGGTGTAAAATATTGTTTAATGTGCGTGCACACACACACACACGCACACACACAGAGTGACACCCACACAGGCAGACAGTCATATGCAAATAAAAAAAAAAAAAATAACAGAAGAGAGAAAACAAGATTGCGTCGCGTCGCCAACGAGGCGAATGACAACGCGGCAAAAGTAAAAACAGTTGAAAGGCATTTCATGTTGCGCTTTCATTACGCACAATTTGTAGCCGCCCCTACACACACACACACACACACACACACACACACACACACACACACACACACACACACACACACACACACAGACAGATACAGCTACAAACGCCTTTTTATGTAGCTGGTTAATTTGGCTTTGATGACGCAAAGTAACACGATTTTTTATTGAATTTTATGGCATCAAATTTTTATTTGTTGTTATACAACATGAGCACACACACACACACGCACACACTCACACACACACACACACACATACACACCAGTTTCTTTTTATTTTCGCTATCGCAACTCACCTGCAAATTGGGCGGACAATGATCCAACAGCTCCAGCATATGCTTTATATTCTGCGCATCCTGTATCACAAAATTCAATTCCATATCGAATTCACCGCCGACGAGCTACATGGAAAATATACCAAAAGCAAAAAAATGGGAATTTAATTAGTATTTTACTTTTTAGACAATTAAAAATCCAATTATTTTTTTATTATTATTATTATTTTTTTTTTGTAACATTTATGATATTCGATATTCAGTTAATTGTGGTTACAAATTATTTCGTAAAGTTCCCACGGATTATTAACCTTAAAAGTGAAATCAAAAATTGTTATACGAAAAAAAAAAAGTATAAAAGTTTTTGCTGTTAAATTATTTCTCTATCATATGTTTATATTTTTTATAAATTAGCAATACGAAAAAAAAACTGTTATATAAAAGTATTTAAAAACTGTTTTACAGTGAGTTGTGGTGAGGCTCAGCGCGAATATAATCTCATATTAAGTGGGCCACAAAGTGTATAATAAGAGAAACTGTTATACAAACGTTGTTATATGTAAAACATTTGGGAAGTTGGGCATTGTCGCTAGGCTTTTTAAGTGCCCAGGAGACATTGTTATGCTATACTCTGGTATACTATAAACCTGTATTCGTATGGTAAAGGTAAACAATTCTCAATAAGCTAAACAAAGTTGTAGCTCCTCTTACTAATATAGTATATCAACATCTGCTTAAATTTAAACTGTTATACAAGTTTTCTTCCTTTGCAGGCATTTAGTTAGGTTATGACAAGTTAGTTAGAACGATTTTTTTTTGTCTAAGAATTACAATTACAAGTATAGTTGAAAACAAGCTGTTATACGAAATTATCATTTGCAAAAACTCTGACGGCAACTGAAGCTTAGCTACTATTACAACTTCAACAAACTTTAATGGAAAATCAAGTAAAGCAGTAAACCTTTGCTTAAGGTAGATATACAGATTCAAATTCCATTTTAGGGTGGACCCATTCTAATTGAAGTTGACCAAAAGCAAGGAATTCGTTGCGTATTTGTATAACATTTCACTTTTAAAGAACTTAAAGAACTTACAATTCGGGCAGATGAAATAAGCCTGCAAATGTTGGTCAAAAGGTGTGAGATTGGGAGGGGGTGAGGGTGGGGGGAGGAAGAGAGGGAGGGCTTTATTATACTGGCTGTAACAATTTAGATGCCTGCAGGCATTTAGCACTGAAAGTTGTTAGGCTTTGGCTAAGTACGTATAGATGTTGGCTAGCCAGGGGGCGGTTGGGGCAGGGGCGTGTCCGAGAACGATTCCGGCAAACGCAATCAGCGCTTCTTTCACCAGCAGTGTGGGCCGGGCCAAGCCGGGCCAGGCTGGGCCGGGCTGGGTGGCTGATGAGTGAGAGCAGAGCAGCAGAGAGAGTCTGTTGTAAAATTGTGGAAAGGCTCTAACTTAATTACGATAGGCCCCAGCCTCATTCTAGCTTTATAGAAATATATATATATATATATATTTATACATACATATATATACATGTTTTTTGACAGCCAATTGAATCGGCAATCGAATTTAGTCACACCACCCCCACCCCCACCCCCACCCCCACCCCCCTTTTGAGCCGTAGAGCTTTTCGTGTCAATTCATTTGATGCTTTTTGCACGCTTTAATAAAATCACCAAATAAATTCAATAAATTGATTTGGGTGACGCAAAAAAAAAAAAAAATGGAAGAGGAATGAAGATTGAAGAAGAAGCAGACTCGACTTGCTTCCAAGTGACTCGCTCTAGTCGCTCTCCGTTAAGTCCCTGGGCTCCACGCTTTGTGTTGGTCGAATTATTTATTTACTTTGTTTTCCTCTTCTTTTTTGTTGCCTTTGCTGTTGCTTTTGCTGTTGGATAGGTTGGGGCTTAGTTGGCGTCTGCCAGCTGGGCGCCAGTCTCATCCCTTTATCAACACCCGTGAGCTGGCATCTCCGCATCTCCTCCTCTTGTCGCCGCCGTCACCGTCTTCAATCTGGCCCTTAAGCCAGTTGCACTTGAGCTGCTTGATATGAACAGCTTTATAATTATGCTTGCCTTGCCCCATCTTAGCATCAACCGCAGGCTAGTGGTTGCTGTGGTGCCGCCAGACCCACACCCAGACCCACAGCCACCGCCTCAAGTCTCCTAGTCTCCCACTCCCGCCCACGCTCAGTCGCCCAGTCTTGCCTATTGTGGTATGAAGATATCTTATCACCTGGCTCCAAATGAAATCAAAGCGACAGCTGCCGCAGCTGGGCAGCTGCTTATAATGCTAGATAAGCTGCGCGACAATGCCAACAACAGCTTTATCTGATAGACTAGACAATACCCTGGGCTGGAATAATACTGCTGTATGGGTTACATTGAGTATAGTGTTATAGAATATATAACAGTTGTGTGATAATTGATTTGATAACTAGATATTAATTGTTATACAACTGTTATACAGCTTACACTATTGTTACTGTTTCTCTAGATCAATATCAAGATCCAGAATTAAAGCTAACTGCCATGCAAATGTCATACAACTGTTATACAGCTGTTATATTACTCTTGTAAGGCATTAGTCACCTTGACTAAAGTGTAATAGAGCTTACATTCAGGTAAACTTTCAAACTAACTGTTATACACTTATTTCGCAATCGTTATACAAATATTACATGGCTTACACTCTTTCTAAGCAAGATCATTAGCATGTCCCATATTAAAATAAATCTATAACAGAAATAAGTGTTATACAATTGTTATATATCTGTTATACTGCTTAGATTTAGCTACTTGTCTATGAGTGGGTCTAGAATGGTGTTAGACATCTGCAAATAGAGCTGATATTTAACTGTTATACAGATGCACATGCTGAAAGCCTCGTCACTCGCTCAATTGAAGAGCTCCTGCACGCACTTAAGTGAATTGCTTGCTTGGGATGGCGATAATTATTTCGAAGTCTTGTCAAAAATAAATGACATCAGCAGCGTCAAATGGCGTTTAGTGTCTCTTAAAAAACGAAAAGAAGCAAAACAATCAACAAATCATAAAAATACGGAAAAAAAAAACTGAGACGAAATTCTCATTCAGATTTAAATTAAACTTTTGCGGAAAGTTTTTCTTTTCGCCTTTGCGCGGGCAAACAATTAGGCAAACTTCTCGCGCTCTTTACAAGCGTTCTAAACGCCGCTTAATTATATTCAAGTATTTTTTTTTTTTTTTTTTTTTTTTTTTTTTGTACACTTTTGCTTCTCTTTTTAGCAATGTCGGAGACTTTAACTGAAATTCCCCAGCGGAATCACACTCACACTGACTGTTTCTCTCTCTCTCTCTCTCTCTCTCTCTTTCTCTCTCTATCTATCTCTGTCTCCGTCTCTGCTCGCTACGCACCTTTGGCTAGCACATTTAGTCAATTTTGAGTTCATTTAAAAAGTTTTTTCGCTCTGCTTTTTTTTTTTTTTTTTTGTCTCTTTCGCTGGGAGATATAGTTAAGCAAATAAAAGAGAGGCAGAGAGAGTGCTGGAGAAAAGTAAGAAGCAGAAGCTGTCACTGACGTTTCGCTGCTGCTTGTCACCTCGTCGCGGCAGAAGCGCTCTCAGATATGCCCAGCCCCTTGGCACTTGTTCCGCTTTCAAGCTGTGCAAGTATGTGTGTGTCTCTGTGTGTGTGTGTGTGCGTGCTTGTGCAAGTATGTGTCGAGCTGCTTTTGCTGTGTTTCTGTCGCTTATTTAAAGTAAATTGAATTTCTATTTTATTTAAAATGCGCATTGAGACGCACTAAAAGTTCTCAAGCATTTTGTATAAGCGAGTCAAAAGGAAGCGCAGAGGGGCGGCTGGGAGCGTGGCTGGGTTGCCCAGTGGGTGGCTGTCTGATAGCAGCTGGGCCGAGGCTAGAGTTGCTGCACGCTGAAAATTTAGCGTGAAGGTGTAAAAATTACATTTAACACTCGCTGCCAAAAGCAAATAGAAAGCGTAAAAGAGTAAGCGACAAAGAGGGAGAGGGGATGAGGGGGAGAAGCGAGAGGGTGAGAGCCGTAGAGCGCCCTCTGTATGCTTGGCCTTTGTATTTGACTTTCCTCATTGCTGTTGCCTTTGTTAAAGTTTTTTTTTTTTTTACTTTCATTTTATTTTATTTTTGTAATTCAATTTCACTTTGCAGGTGTCGAAGTTGACTTAAATTGCGTTAGCTTCCATTGTGAAAAGGCTAAGAGAGTGTGTGTGGGTGAGTGGGCGTGGCATTGAGGCTAGCCTGCCACAATAAAAAAGCAACCGCAGCTAACAATAGCCAAAAAGCCAGATATTTAGAAGCTGCTTAGAGCCATTGCCCAGTGAGAGAAAAATCGGAAAACGTCGGCTAGACAAAGCAAATCCGATAAAGGGAGCTGCTCTCGGCCCGTTTTCGTGTAGTCTAGTGTTACGATATGGGCGTGTTTTAGGCTGTTTCAGTTTAGTATAGAGAAACTGTAAACTCAATATACATAGACCCCCTCTCTATCTCTCTCTGTCTCTCTCTCTCTCTCTCTCGCTCTCTCCCTCTCTCTCTCTCTCTCTCTCTCTCTCTCTCTCTCTCTCTCTCTCTCTCTCTCTCTCTCTCTCTCTCTCTCTATTAAGTCGACTAATGAGTACTCTGCCCTGCAGACACTGCAAAGCCAAGTTTAGAGTTTGCATTACTCATCTGAAGATTTGCTGCAAGTCCCAGATGTTTTTGATCGTTCTGATTAACTTTTCTCCAGAGGGAACGCAACGAAAATAAACGATGGAAAATGCAGAAGGAAAATACACGAATTTCCATCGCATTTCATGCAAAAATTTTGTTGTTTTCTCTACTTTTGCTTTTGCCGCTGCCTGTGGCAATCAACTAACTTTTCTCTCGCTGCCAGCAGAGCTCCCCCTCTCTCACTCTATGGCTGTCTCTCTCTCTCCTATTCCTTTCTGTATATATTATGTATACCCTATAAAATGGAATACAGGATGTGGACGAGTTTCTTGTTTCTCCTAGCTACTTTGCCTACTTGCGGGTAACTGCAAGTCGTGCATACCCGGTTAGAGCGCTTTTTTCATGGGCCTCAACTAGAGCTGCGTATGTGAGATGTCTGCCGCATGCTAATGCCACTC